CCATTTAACATTTGATTGGATAACATTTCTTCCGAACGGTTTGATGAAGACTGTCGCAGATGATCAGGCAACGCCAGCAGTGCAGCCTCTTCAGGTGTGAGGTACTTGTTTGGATCACCCTCTTCAGTATCGGCATTTGCCTTAGAAAGTCCTTTTCTTTTTTGCAATTCTTGTTCAATATACTTCATCATTTCTTCATCTTCATCTCGTTTATTTGTTTCTGCAGAGAACTGTGTGCCAATGCCTACATCGTAAGCGTCTTCTGGCTCTTTTAGCTTGCCGGATTTCAGCGCCTGCATATTCACGAGGCCACCAACTTTAACATTAAACGGGTCTTTCTGCAAAGTTATTGCGAGTTATTTTTCGAAACACTGTATCTAAAAACTTTGTATCAAAACTTACAATGGCGATTTCTTCTTCCGGCGCCAATTTCTTGCCCAACGCCAAGCCGATAACACTTACACCATGGGGCCGCTGACGCAATTTTTGTCGCTCTTTGATTTCTTCAAGTACGGCGCTAGAAGAGTAATATTTAAATAAAATGCATATTTGGAATATGTTCAGTCATCCCCATTAGTCCCATTAGAAAGGGGACGGTCCCAACTTTATGAAAAGTAATAAAAATAAATGGAGTGTGGGTTATATTTATTATTTTAATTCTAATTTATAAACATAGTTAATGGCCTCAACTAATGCCAAAAAAGGGTCCTTTTTGGTCTTTTTAATGTTACGCCTCCACAGGTACTCTACCACCAAATCTGCGAAATTCCCGGTGTGATTATAATTGCGCGCAGAAAAAAAGCGTTTCACCACCCTCCATTGCGATTGAATTCGCTGGCTGTGGGTCCCGTCTTCTGCGATGAATCCATTATCAGAAAGACAATCATGTGCGCTGAAGAAATCCGTCCTTATAATAGACCCCTCGGCCACATGCTTTTTGATCAGCGGAATAAGAATATTCTCTGATAAGCAGTTATCTGGGCATACTTCTAGACGTAGATCCTCACTGCCATCTTGGATCATGCCCAGGACCCAGTGACCCTCCACTCCTCTGCCTGAAAATAAGAAAGGAAAAATTTAAATCATAACACAACAATCGAATAAAAATTACCTTTGTTGAGTTTCCGCTTTCCAAATTCACTCTTGTCAATCTGGACCACCTTCCCAGGACCACCAATTTTTCCGGTGGCTTCTTGGTGGTCCAACTGGTATATTACAACGACTTCTCTACAATAACTGTACCAGTCGGTTACAGTCGCAGATGACAGAGTTTTTCCCTCCTTCACATAGTCTTGACGTAGAATCATCTCGCGGGTAAAATTCTCCACAAAGCAATACATCAAATAATATACGTGGGGGACGCTTATCCGGACTCCCTCGAACCACGTCGCTGCAGCTACCGAAACACGGGGCCTTTTGGCGCATTTGCCACGCTGGCATACGAAGTACCCAAATTTTCCGCCCTTTCGCCAGTTCATACGTACTTTATGGAAGGGGCACAGCATTGTACCCCGGATCAACCCATGCTCCACCGCGAATTGTGCCCCCTGCTCATGGGTTCTTAACTCCAGTACCATACGCGCAAAATTCCATTCGCCGCCTTTCTGCGAATTTCTTGCGCTGGCGCTAGTGGAAGGACGATCATCTAGAAACAGAAGAATTGCATTTATGGCATATTATCATAGACTACAATTACTTACCAGACATTTTAATAAAACAACGAAGAAACTAAGTGGCAGAACCGAAATGAATTAACTCGTAAAATTTAGCGTACAAACTGAAATGCAATGTTAAGTCAAGCCGTAAAAAGGTTATATTCACCTTGGTTATATTTTTAATGCATCTGGCTTATATCTTATTTCCTTTTGTCTCTCATCCTTCTTACAGTTATTGGAGTTTGACAGCTGAACTACGCCATTTAATTTGCCTACGCAACCAAAGTCGCAGGCGTATTTTTCAAGTTTTTTTTTTTTTAACAAATTTTGATTAATTAGATTTCAAATCGAATTTCCAAATAAATTAGCGGGCAAAATTACAAAAGTAGGTGTTAAAATAAAATGTAGACACTAGACACTTGACAAGTGTGTGGAAATTTTTTTAGATCGGTTCACTTCATTGGGCGCAATAGCCCGAAATCGTTTGGCACAAAACTAAACAGTACCCGAATATTTTTCACTTAATCAACATTGAAGCTTACATTTCCTCATCTTGCTTTTCTTCCTCGTCTGAATGAGAGGGCTTTCTTTGACGTAGATTCTTCCGTGGCTTCTTTTTAAACAATACTTTTCCACTGCTTTCCTCAGCGTCTAATTTGACCTCTGATTGGCAGTCCTCTTTCTCCAATTTTACCTCAACTCCTTCAGACATTATTTTTTGTTTAAAAGGTGTTTAATTATTCAGTTTACAAAAATGTTGAGTATTTATTTTTCTGGCGTTTCCACACTATTCTATGGTTGAAATGATTTTGAGTTTTGTTTTGCTAACACATTCGTACTTTTTAAGTCACAACTGCTTAAAAAGGTCTATTGTGAACAACGTGAAGAAAAGAAGGTGGATCGTTGCTTTTGACAGCTGACACCACCGCTGATATAACAGGCACGTTGTGGAAATATACGAATTTTACAAAACAGAATTTTATTTATTTTGACATAAATATAATTGCAGGTTAATTGGGAATCAGGTAATATTCCGTCATGAACTTCATACGCCTCGTCATGCGCCAATTCACTCGTCACAGTGTCCGTGCTCGTACGTATTCTGCCGAAGCAGCACCTGCAACCGCTAGCGGTGCCGAGAAACTAGTACCACCACCCCCAGAAGGTTTAGCCAAAACAGCAAACCCAAAGTTGGAAAACATCGTCAATAGTATTGCTGCATTAAATCTGCTAGAAGTTTCAGAACTTAGTGGGCTACTGAAAAAGAAATTGAATTTGCCTGAGACCGCATTTGTACCACAATTTGCTGCCGGCCCTGCGCGTCCTGCTGGTGGTGAAGAGGAGGAAGAGGAAGCTGCTCCAAAGAAGATACAAACTGCCTTCAAAGTGAAGCTGCTGAAGTTCGATGAAAAACAAAAAGTAGCGTTGATCAAGGAAGTGAAGAACCTTTTGGAGGGCATGAATTTGGTGCAAGCTAAGAAGTTCGTCGAGAGTGCGCCTACCATCGTAAAAGAAGACATACCAAAGGATGAAGCAGAAAAACTCAAAGAGGCACTTACCAAGGCTGGTGCAGTCATTGAAATTGAATAAAAAGGTTGCTACTTTTATAAGGAATACGCACCGTTGCCTAATCCTAAATACAAACTTATATATGTAGTTTTACGCATTTTTATGTGCACTGATGTACGTAAATAAGTTCATCGTTTTAATTCCTGATTGATCTATTGTTGCTAGAGTGAATTATAATAAAATCAATTAAAATAAGGAACAATAAGTGCGCAGAATATTTTTTTCTGCTGGTTAATCAAAAAATTAGCATTTCAATCCTCCCACGGGAAATATATTGCAGCCACGTGCCCAGCTCTCTAGAGTCCCAATATATTTTTTTATAATTGCGATTAACTTTCTTTTCTGAAGCACAACCTTTCCCTTGCCCCTTAAATTAGTATTTGCGCATTCTATAAACAACTGTAAAATGCTATAATAAGTGCGTCATACCTTTTTGATAGAGCAAGTGAATTTAAAACCGTTAAGCAAATATGACTAAACGTTTTATTTTTGTTTCTGAGTATAATTTACATATACAAAGACATCTCTTGCATGCAATAATACAACAACGACATCCTATTACAAGAATTTCCTCACGATCATGTTAAAAGCAAAATATCAACAGAAAATCGTGTTGAACTATATTCTCTTATTTAACTGATTAATCGATGTCATTTTCTGCCATCAAAGCCACACATCTTTTCCATGAGATTACTCACACATTCTTGCAATTGATGCCAGAGCATGATCAATTCTAATTAGCACCTTTGTGGCAACAGCAACAAAAACATATTGGTTTCCAATACTCCATGTAGTACCAATTTCTTGCTCTTGGCCAATACCAACAACTTCAGCGCTGGAAGGTGGCATTTGCTTTTGTGAATTCTTGCAGAGCGCACAATCTTTTACGGTAGCGGTGTAATTATTTAGTTAGTGATGCGATACCAGAGTGATTAGATGGTGTACAAGTAAAGTGCGTATTTAATTTGAACGCAATTTGAATCGAGGAATTTAATTAGTCCGCGCAGGAAGTGTGCACACGTGTTATTTAATAATTACGCCCTATTGCATATATATACATACATACATACATACATATGTATATATAAATATAACAGTAAAAAAAAGTGAAAAATTTTCAAACGAAGAGCCAAAAATTCAACTTACAAAAGTGTATGCGAATATTTCATTACAAAAATGAGTTTATTCACCTTAGTCGCCGGACTGCTAACGCTGGGCATATTCGGTTATGTGATGTGTAAGGATATTGATGAGTATCCAACAACATTATTATCATTTCAAAATTCATTAGAACCCCCTATAGAATCAGCGATGTCCACCAAAGACATGCTTCAAAATCATTCACATTCGAGATCGCCTAGATGTGAGTATATGTACGCCAGTGCTAACGAAATTTCCACGAAAATACGAAATGCTATACAAATTTCAACTCATCAATAACGTATTATTCATGCTCTAAACTGCATATGTCTGTATATGCGACATCCTCGTGGCCTTTGGGAAAGATAGGTGGTTAAGATTATAGATACTATGTATATATACCTACATATCTGCGTACATAATATATCCGCTTACATACCTCATTCATGTCTCATGTACCTTCTAGCAGCTAACGTAAAGTACTAACTTAACCAAGCCAAGTTTGTTTCATAACTCTATCGTTTTTCGGTCGATAAACGGTTATAGCAATTATCACTCCATGAAAATTAAAGTTTTTATTTGTTATTTATATACGAGCATGCATACATACATACACAAGTACGTACCTATTTGAGAATTTTACATATATTTAAATTAAATTTAATTAGCCATTTTGCTATTTCTGGTCTTATAACAATTATATTCAACCATTTCATTGAGCTTGAGGCCATTTTTCTTTAAAAAAAAATTGTGTGGAAAACAACAATAAATTAAATGTGAAATTGTTGAATTAAATTTAATAATAATTAACGCATAATAACAACAGTCAATTTTACACACAAAAAATTCAAAATGCTGGCGAAAATAGAGAATTTATCTTTCTAACGTTAGGATTTTTTTAAAAGGACTTTAAGATTTCAAAGGTGTGATTAATTCAATAAATATTTTAAAAATTCAGTGCAATGTAAAATAAGAATATGGGTATCAAAAAAAGTTAATATTCTGTAGAATTGAAAATAATACATTTTTTTGGCGAATAAGGGTGAACAGTAAAAATGTCCTATTCAAATTTCATCCTTGAATTTTGATGTAAATCGGGGAAGGAAAATAATCATTATTTTTTAAATTTTTATTTAAAAAATATACATATTCTAAACGTCGCAAAAGCTGTCGATCGCGCAAAGACGCGTTTCTTTGTATATTCTGTTATAAATCTCAGATGCATAATTTTCGGGGTTAACCAATAAAATTCCAAAATATTCACTAATTCTTGATTGTTTTCTTTTCGCTCAAAATAAACTAAACAATTACGAGAACGCATTACAGTTTTGGTTTAGTTCTGCACTAGAATAAAATGAAATGTCAAGAACGTTCCTGCAAAAGAACCAAACGGAAACAAAACTCTCGAGAACGTTCTCAAGAAGAACATATTGAGAACGAGTCTTTCGGGAACGTTTCTTATGATAACGAAAGTATCGAGCACGTTTTTAAGGATGATCAATAAAGAACTAATGTCTAGGGAACGTTCTGCCAACAAACGTTCTGAGAACAAAACGAGAACAAAAGCTCTGAGCAGTTCTCGTCAGGAATGAGAAGGGCATCTGCGTGTTGTGATGAAAAATCGTTTCAGTTCAGAACCATGATTGTTTGATCATTTCAACTTCCAGATCATTTATCATTAGGGTGAACTGTACATTAATGGAACAGTTTTTCATTTTCTGTGGAAGAAAAGTTCGTACCATAAGTCTTTCGTTTACTTTTATTTGCATAATTCTAAGGGGATTCACAAGTCGTGTTAAGTGTCGTAATGTCTAAGTCTTAAAATTTTTCAATGTATAATAACGGTTAATAGCGTTGTAATATAGGGCGACATCCTATAGCATACGGCGTGGGTTGTGAGATATAGAGGTCAAAAAACTCCATTTTTGTTTCCTAAGATGATTGACAGATCTCGGCTCTCTACGAAGGGGTATCTGGCGTAACGTCAAATGTCATACTTCTTTATGGATTGTATGGTGAAAGATGAATGTCCTTGCTCGCTACACCGTTGTTGTTGTTGTAGCGGCTACAACTCCGCCCAGATCGGTTACTCCCTCAAACGTTGTCGTCAAGCTCTACTAACGGAAGTCCAAGGAAGCGGGCAGCCTCGATGGAGTCTGTACATAAGGACAGAGGCGTTGGCAGGGCGGGGTTCAGTGGACATGCGAAGAGATGTTTCGAGTCATGGGGCGTCTCTCCGCATGCCGGGCATTCGTTTGGCACATCAGCAGTTATTCTGCTCAGGTACGAGTTTAACCTGCTGCACTAGCCAGAGTCTCCAGGAGTCTCCCGAAGCAGACGAAGCTCTGTCTCGTCCACGTCTGGTGGTTGTGTGCCCAGAACGGCATTCACAGGTCGAGAGCCTATATAATTCGAGATATGGAGAGGGTTAAGCTCCGTGCAGTGAAGAAACGAGAAAGCTCGGCGAGATAGCCGTTTACTTTCGAGCACAAGTCATCAATTCCATTCCCAGACGCCATTATCGAGTCATTCGTGAGCATCGAGTCAATCGAGAGGCCCCCTGTTTAATTACAACACCGTAGCCATCACTAGCGTGAATGTTGGGGTAACTACGAGGTTTATAGCGATTTATAAAATAATTTTTTTTTTTGAGGCCATCAAAATTTTTTTGCTGCTACTTGTGTGGTTAATGTATTTACAGATATAAAGTCAGCAGCCGCTCACGTACATATTTCGCTCCAACATCACCAACAGTTCAGTATTTATGCACCACCACTCATAAAAACTATTTGAAATTCTTGCCAATTTTCTAACAAATTGCATTCCCATTAATTACAGGGTTTCCATTTTATACGATTGGACGTTTTGCCAACGATGTCTGCACCGGCGCCAATCAATTGTCCGGCACATGTGTGGTACGAGGCGAATGTAGTGATAATGGTGGTGTGGCAGCTGGTACCTGTACTACGGTTACGACTCAAGCCGTGTGTTGCATATGTAAGTACATAGCTTAATTGTATGCTAAAAAACATTTACAACATATGTATTTTCTATTCCTCTTATTAAATATATTATAGACCAACTGGGCTGTGGCTCCAGCACAAGTTACAACAATACCTATTTTTACAATTCGGGTTACCCCGGCACATATGGCGGTGGCGGTCGGTAAGCTACAAAGCCAATCAACTCCTACATAGCAGTACTCACTCCCACTCTTTTTACAGTTGCTCCATTGTTGTCACACCATGTGATGCGAATATCTGCCAGCTTCGCATCGATTTCCTATCGTTGACTATAGCACCACCGAGTGGCGATGGTTTCTGTCTGACGGATACCCTAACTATAACGGGTGGCGCTTCACGTGTACCCACTATTTGTGGTGAGAATAGCGGACAACATGTTTATGTCGATTTCAATGGTGAATCACCGATTACCATCTCTGTGGCCACATCCGATAGCTACACCTTTAATCGCCAATGGCAACTACAAATTGCACAAATCGCATGCGCTTCTGCCACACAAGCACCTTCGGGTTGCCTGCAATACTACATGGATACAAGTGGCACAGTATCAAGTTTCAATTATGACTCCGCCGCTAATTCGCTGACAAATTCAATTGGTGTGCCAGGCACACGACAAATAGCCAATCAACAATATGGTATTTGCGTACGCATGGGCGCAGGTATGTGCTCAATAACTTGGAGTCAAGTGAGTTCAGATGCATACTCCTTCACGCTAACAAATGATGTAGCTGTTGTCGATCCATCATTGCTTGGCACTGCGACTGTACAAAGTCAGGATTGCACAACTGATTTTATTATTATACCGAATCCTACACAAGATAATGTCGCATTGGCTAGCGATCGGTTCTGTGGACTGGGATTGGTGGATACAACGAGTGCAACGAAACCATTTGTGCTTTATACTGTGACGAACGCAAATGAGGATTTGGACATGTCGAATCGCGGTTTTTTCCTATCCTATTCACAGAACGCTTGTCCTGTAGTCTAGCATACAATTTAAATTTAAGTGAATGGCATAATAATAAATTATATTTTTTAATAATATGTACATGCACATATGAAAATAGAGGCGGAATTTTGAACAACGCTTGCCTGCTTGCCCTCTAATATCATTCGATTCAATATTTCCTAGATACCTATATGTGCGAATATGTTAACGTTCGTATATATTAAGGTAAAAACAACAAATTTAACTTAACAAAACGTTATGCGTTTCTAATTTTCACAATACACATTCAACCGCCCAAATTTTTTATATTTTTTATTTCCAGTTCCAGTTGTTGAATCTGCATTAAAGAAAGATCTTTATTTTATATTTCCTTCATTGGAATTTAAACAAACGCACCTTTTGATTATGCCGTTTCTGCACCTGTTCACTCGCTGAACGCTGGAAGCCTTCATCATTGATTCTCATGCGATAGCGTTCAAGTTCGGTTTGAAGCCGTGCCAGTTTCTTGTGGTTCAAATCACTAATGGGTGATTGTTCTTGGCGTGTTTTCTCATAAATAGCATTCACTTGCAGTCCTAAAGACATTGAAAATACACTTTAGAAAGAACATTTCATTAAATTAATAAATTATCTACCGAAGGAGCAGTAATGTCCGGCAGTGGAAAAAAATTGAAAATGCTGCCTGCGCTCTTTCAATTCAGCTGGAGTTAGAAACTCCACAACTACTTGTTTGGTCAATGTTAGCGCGCTCATTTCCTTCAAATGTAACTGCAAGTCGGCAGCACTTTTTTTGTCGGGAGCAAATATGTGGGCACATGGTTCGTGTTTTCTTGATATTTTGTTTTGGCTTTTCAGCTGCCTTATGGCTTGGCAAATAGCCAATATCACATCTATCTCCGCCTCTATTTCGGCGTCAAAATATCTACTTATTTGCAGATGTATGCCACGTGGCAAGTATTGCAGCAGCTCTTCGGCAATGAAAGGCGTAAACACGGACATCGACTGGAGACCCCAACTAAGACATGTCGCGAGCGTTGCACAATTGATGTAACCATTGGCCGTTCCTTTACTGATAGCCGGTTTTGTGGTTTCCTGCGTTGGAAAATATTGCGTTAATAATTGAAAATTATTTTTAAAATTCAATTAACGATTCTTACCAGATAAACATCACACAAGCTATTATAAAAGAATTGCTTTATCGCGGACGTCGCCATATGAAGGTCATATTGGTCAATGCTTTGAGCAACCGTTGTTAAAGTGTCCGACAATCGACTGAGTATCCAACGATCCCACTTGCCTAGCGTACAATTTTCCAAAGTCTCAATTTCGGACAGTGATAAATTCAGCTTTTCGGCAGCTCCAAGTGTGTAGCGTGTTGCTTGCCAAATTTTGTTAAGGAACAGTTTATTCGTATAGCACTCGGCTACGTCAAAATTAATAAAATGATTTTTTATATTATGACTGCAGAGTGTAAAACGAAGTGCGTCTGTGCCACATTGTTGTATGCCTTTAGGAAACATTTTTTGCAAGCCTTTAAGTGATTTATTCAATTCCTCTGTGCTAAGTAAGCCAGCGTCATGCGATCCTTGCAGATCTGCTTCCAAAGACTAAAATAGAAATAATGAATTTTTTCTAAATATAGTACCTATAACCAAGTTTGTTAAAATTACCTCCAGACTTGCACCTTGTATTACTTGTTGTGGGGTAACCACATTGCCAAGACTTTTCGACATTTTTCGGCCATGCGCATCACATACAATGCCATTTAGAACCACTTTTTTAAACGGCGCCTGCCCTGTTAATTTTACGCCGAGCATTACCATTCGAGCCACCCAGAAAAATAGGATGTCATGTCCTGTCGCCATTAAATCCAAGGGATAACGCATCTTGTACTCAGATGATGGCCAATTAAAGACAGAGAAGGGCAGCAACGATGATGAAAACCATGTGTCCAACACATCCGGATCTCGTTCAACGCTGCTAACTTCTGCATTGAGTACTGTCTTCGCTCTCTTTCTTGCTTCATCTTCATTAAGCGCTGCTACCCAACAAGTGTTGCCATCAACATCCGTAGCCAAGTAAGCAGGAATTTGGTGTCCCCACCATAACTGGCGTGAAATGCACCAATCACGGCAAGCTTCAAGCCATCGAAACCAATCAATTTCATAGTTTTCTGGTTGAATCTTTAGCCGGCCACTTCGTACTTCTGACATTGCTGCATCCGCCAATGGTTTGCAGTGTAGAAACCATTGTGGACGCAGCATATATTCGACTACATCTTTTGTGCGTGAACAAATTGGCAATACCATTGAATGCGGCTTAACAACATCGAGTAATTGGAGATTTGAGAGTGCATCCAAAATATGCTGACGTGCATCGAATCTCGGCAATCCCTTGAATTCTTCAAATCTATCTGTGATTTTGCCTTGATCTGTAAAAACTTGTATAGGTTCCAACAGATGAACTTGTGCTACTTCGTAATCAGCACGGTCATGGGCGGGCGTGATTTTCACAGCACCAGTGCCAAAGTCTTGGTCAACATTTACATCGAAAATCAAAGGAATGGGCTCCTTGCGAAAAGGGTGATTAAGGAATACTTGTTCTCGGTTACGATACTTTTCATACCTCGGATCCTGAGGATGTACTGCCACAGCTACATCGCCCAGCAAGGTTTCAGGACGTGTTGTAGATACTACTATTTCTTCATCTGAATCGCATAAATGATATTTAATATCATAAATACGACCAAATTCTACACTCTTTTCATGACCTGGCACAGCTAATGCAGTGGGTCCCTTTAATTCCAATAAGTCCACTTCGATGTCGGAGATAGCCGATTCTAAGGCACATGACCAATTGACCAATGATTTTTGACGTTGAATCAGACCTTCTTCGAAGAGCCGTATAAACGCCACATCGACGGCGCGTGATTGTCGCTGAAAAAAAATTTTGTCCGTATTATATAACAAAAATATTTTAGAGTATATCCATTTTACCTCATCCATAGTAAAATATTCGCTATCCCAATCGAGCGTGCATCCCAGCTTTCGTAGGTCATCAATAATTCCATCACCTTTTTTTCGCTTCCACTTCCAAACTTCCAGCAAAAATGGAATGCGCCCCAGTTGATGCCGTGTTATCCCACGTTCCTTCAGCAAACTTTTCTCCACAATCACTTGCGTTGCTATACCTGCGTGATCTGTGCCCGGTATCCATTCAACTTCATAACCCAGTTGACGGTGCTGTCTGCATATAACGTCTTGCAAAGTGGCATTTAGCGCATGGCCTAAATGCAGGTTTCCTGTTACATTTGGTGGCGGTAGCAGCATGCGGTATGATCCGTGTTTACCACCACAAGCTTCCCGTGCCTTTCTATGTACATATTTATCCTTTTCCACAGCGCGCGGATCATAGCCCGGCGCTAAAGTTGGAAACGCTAAAACAAAACGCTTCTTTCAAAACTTAATTTATTAATGAGAATTTCGACGGCACTACCTGCGATTGAATACTTCTGGCGAAGCGAAAACTTGTGTTTATATCGGCAGCTTAATAAATGCAATCCTTTGCTTGTAACACGTGAAATTTTAAGATTTGATTGCATTTTCCATTCTCAAATGAAGATTAGGAAAAAAAAACATATAAAAGCCAAACAAATGTCGAAAATCAGCTGATTTACAGGGTGCATAATAGACATTAACGTAACCGTTACGGAACAATGGGCACTGCGGTGAAACACCTGTGCAGTTACTTTACATTTACGTAACCGTTACGGAACAATGGGCACTGCGGTGAAACACCTGTGCAGTTACTTTAATCTTGGGCAAAAAATTCTAGTTAGAAAGGCATTTAAAACGAAATAAGAATGTATTATATTTCTTGTAAACCTTTATTTTGAGCAGAATGTAAAATCGAGGTCATACAAATGTGGGCTTTAGATTTGACTTATCATTTTGAAAAATTAAAATAGTTGTGCTTGTAACAGCATGCAAATTATCCAGAGTTTTTGGGGAATGATGCGAAGTGGTAGTCATTCACCACATTTGAATCTGATACTACCCTGCAAAAATCGTGGGACCATGCAGTCTATTTGTGGTAAATTGGAGTACTTACAAAAGTGTTCCTCTGTTATGCTGTAGCGGACCAACTCGTGTCTCTGCGCCAGCTTATTGTTTGTTACCCGATCACTGCTCGTGTTTTAACGAAATGTGATTGAAGACGAGCATTTGAAAGCACATTTGCATGTCTGGCTGTAGCTGAACGTGTTGTTGTTGTTGTTGTTGTTGTAGCGGCTACAACAACCCCGCCCAGATCGGTTGGTATCTCAGTCGTTGCCGTCAAGTTCCACTAACGGCAGCCCTAGGAAGCGTGCAGCTTCTGCGGGGTTTGCCCATAAGGACAAGGTCGTTAGGGATGTCGGGTTGCCGGGCATGCGAGCTGAACGTGTAGAGATGCTCGCTGTTAGTTCTTAGCTCCCAGCATGTTCGGGTTCGAATGCCGTCAGAGGCAGCATGTTATTTTTAATTTTTGTCTTGGTTTTTATTAATTTCGAAAAAGCATTTGAGAAGTGAAGAACAAAAGCGTGTACAAACGAAAAAATATAACAGCAATGCCATTGTTATTATGTTGGAGTAGTTTTGTGCTACTCTGATGTAATGCAGGGATGGAGTATATGGTCCTGCCCTAGGACATCGCAATGTTAATTGGATTATATTTTTTATATGAATTGTGGTTAATTTTGGAGTACTCCTTGTTTTTTAGGGAGTGCTCTTTACACGCATGCATGGAGTAGTCTTGATTTTTGCAGGGTACATTTATGCGACAGAATTCATTCACAGCAATTAACGAACGACACAAGGGGCCGTATGCATAAAACCTAAGCAAATGCTTTTTCTTAAAATTTCAGACCTTTCACTAAATTTTTTCAAATAAACTTAAGTGAAAGATATGAAAATCTGAGAAAAAGTAATTGCTTAGTTTTTATGCATACGGCCCAAGATAACGCAAGAACAAGAGAGTGAAAAAAAAATTTTTTTTGAGCGGGTCCTACGCAATCTTGTTTCGCTGGAAAACGAGCAAAAAGTAAACAAAGCAAAGAAAACGACGAAAACTAAAACTAATGTCAGCCACTTTGAGCACACAATTCAGGTAAAATTATTCATTACAACGCTTAAAAATGAGTTGTCATGTTGAATTAACTCTTCTTTAGTTAAATAAAAGTGTAAAACAGTGGTTCCTGTGATGTACACACGCTCAGCTGACGACCTCCCTTTCACAAACTTTTTTCTCAAAATCAATTACAAATACAACGTAGCGTTCTTGCGTGATCTTGTATTTTTGGTTCATGGTAAAACAAATTGGCCTACGCATAAACGTAGTATGGGGGGTCCCGGTTACGTGACTCCAATGCCGTGGGAGCTTCATTCCAGTTACGTAGACCCGACTGCCGTGAGGAAAGATATCTACGCAAACTCAATAAGAGATTCCGAATCACACCAAACGTACATATAATTCAAATGATTTGTTAGGTTCGTAGCTAATTGGAGTCAGAGATAGGAGTTGCCCAGATTTCTACGAAATAACGGACTGCGATGTATGCAACAACAGCGATATAACTGGAAGTAATCATTATTAACGTCTAAACTGAAGAACAGTTATCTAAGTAATTGTTGCTATTGCTGAATTCAACAACAAAATTTCGAATCGCATTTAACAGCTGATTCTTGAATTGCGCAATGCTTGATTTGATTTACCATGATTGACATTGGCAGCACAATCACATTTGTTTGAGAAATTTGTAAGGGTGGCATCCATGAACCATGTCTTTCGTTCATGAGTGGCATCGCTGCTATTATCAAATGTCTATAATAAAGGAACATAAAAAGGGTAAAAGCAGAAGGCAAAAGCGTACGATACGAGATCATAACATAACTTGCTGCTCCAGTTATAATTAATTGTGATTTTTCAGTAAAATAGAAAAGAAAAAATTGTGCATCCCAGGATTTATTGAAGAACTTTTCTTATAAAAGGTTGTCAACTAGACAATTTCGTAAATTTTCCAACAGCAGCAGAAAGAATTTCTATACCTACAAAACTCGACGGTAAGTGGTCACATGCAAGAATTTGCTGATTTGTTTCGCAATTTTGTGATTTTCTTATTAACCGGGTATATTATTTAATAAAAAAACGTTTAAGGAAATGTGTAAAGTCATACATTTTGCAGTACGACTATTGAAATTTTCACGATTACATATAGAACCGAAGCCGTCATGAAGAAAATGTTGTCCAAGAAAACCAGTAATCGAATCTCGAATTAGGTCACTATGTCAAGCTGGTGGCGTAAGTCGGCGTGATTGTTGTTTTTGCTAACGTTCTTCTTTGCTGTGGTTCGCCTACCATTTCCGTAGGTACATTAAAAGTGTTGTTGGTTGGGAGTTGAGATGTGCGAAAAGCAGCATATCGATGGTTCTGGCTTCCGGGATATGTGCTGAAAGTAAAGTAGATTGATTTATCCTATTTTTTATAATAAATTTAAAGGCATCCTGCAGTGTAGGACAAGGAGTGCACTGAGCTATCTAAAAAAAGAACCTAGAGACGAAAGACATCCAACCATTCATTTGGTGCCTTCACTGATAAAAATAAGTTCACTTAATCGTATAGATTTCCTCATCCCGTCATTATTAGAACAAGCGAGATACATACATATTTCACTTCACAGAATTCTAGACTATGCACATTTACACCTCTACAGCCTACCCCAATTAGAAGATACGCACTAATACTTTGTACTTTTACATTTAAAATTTCAACCTTCAATCTGCTCGGGAAGATCAGAAACTCTAAGCGAATACTTGCCAAGATTTATCGTATGTATTGTGTTGAATGGAAAATTGTCAAAATCCAACAAATCCGCAATATTCAACTAAAGGCAACCTCACCGAGGCTATTGCCATAGCATTGTAAAACCTCTAAACAAAAGACAGAAGGAGTTCCTCCACAAGGTAGTATTATTGCAATTACTTTGATTAATACTTGTTAAAAACTTATTGGAAAATAGTGGATAACAGGGCTTAATTTTTTGGAAATAGCGACTACGTGGGTCAAATATCTGTTCTTGAATCACTGAAAGCTCGCAAACAACCTACTTGCACTTGATTTCCACTTCGTTAATGTTCCAAAGAATGAAGTTACTCCATTCAGCTGTTTATGTACGTATTTCATAATCTTTTCCGTTTCTTATTATCGTTTCCCGTTTTGTCAATTTTTATTAAATGTAACCTCTACAGATAAAGGTATTTTTTTTTTTTAAATTCCATCGAAGAAAAGGTAATAATACCTATTCCGTTAACTACTAGGGATTTTTGTTACCAAACGAACTCTTTTTTTTTATAAAATATTCAAATACAAAAATAAGATTTAATAAAAGCTAGACAGAAAGGATTGTCGATAGACATGTACTTGAATATGTACTTATGTGCATATGTAAATTATCTGTAAGACTAAAACATCCTTTGGCACATTCAAAACTGTTTCTGGGTATACTTACCAAATGGTTTACGCTTTTGATGGGAGAAGCTTCTTTAAGTTGTATATATATGTATGCATTTACATACATACTTACAAAAGATATATACATAAATACATATGTACTTACGTACATACAAAGTATCAAAGTATCTATTACTTACTTAGAACAAGTGTATAAGTCAAGTGTTGATGGAGTCATTTCAATGTGGTTTCTAAAGAGTTGGTGGATAATCAGCACACGAACATCCGAGTAAATTTTCCACGAGACACGCGAACTGTTCCATCTCTGTTTGGTGTCATTGGGTTGGTAGTTTACTGGATTACTGTGCTTATTTTAAGAAGAGCGGAGAGATTCGAGTAATCATCTACTGTTTGACGGTGTTGCACAACAGGCATACATGTTCATTCCTACATATGCCCATAAATACACCTAAAGCGCTGGATTGCAAAGGGGGTGGCGGGATTACACTGAAGAGAGCAATAGAAGAGAATAAAATATTGTATGGGAGTACGTTTTGGTTACATGGATGTTGTTCATTTTACGTTGCTTGCAGTTTTGACTGCCGTCGAGTGTTCTATGAACGTACCTACATATATATGGGGGTGTACAGACGTGTGTACCTAGTGTAATTGGGTATTCACTGAGCTTAAGAAGATATACGGGAAATCGAGTACTATGTAGCAGCAATGTAGGAAAATTAAGGCATGTTTGTATGAGAAAGTGAGCGAAAGCGAAATTTGCAACGTGTAATTTTTTTTTTTTCACTATTTACTTTGTAAGCATTTGGAGAGAATGAAATTCGATATGGGCTTGAATATAAGAATGTCTACTCTGCCAAATTTCGTAGTGATTAACAGACGCATAAACTAAAATAAAATTAGTATTATACAACTTGGCTTATAAGTTTTATATGTACTCACAAGAGAAATATTCCGTTTTTGGCTCTCATTTGCACTCGCAACAAAGTTTTAGCTGATGCCTTAAAAATATAACACTTGACACCCTTAGAACAGTCCTGAAAGCAGTTACTTAATTAAATCAATTTAATTTTAAAAGTAATTTGAATCTTCCGTAAACTTTCAAAGTCATAGTTTAAGTATCAGATAGTAATTTAATTTTGTATTCTTCTATGC